TCCTCGTCCATTCGACCAACGTCGTTGAAAGTCTGCCCCGCCATATCGTCCGCCTGCTTCAAAGTCGAGGCCAGCGACCCCGGCCTTGTCTCCTCCATCCCTACCACCACCGTGTCTCCCTTCCCGCCACTGCCTCTGCCAAGACAACATAAACAATTCAAAGATGTATCTTTCAAATAAACAGTAAAAAGGGTGTATTTGTTTTACCTATTACGCTCTAGAGTCACTTTTGCTTCTTCTCTGTCGCTCCCTCCTCCCTGCAGCCTCAGCTCCTCCATCTTCCTCCTCGCGGCATCCTCCGATTCGCACATCTTTTCCTGCCATTCCTATCGTTAGTGCAGGATTTTGAGGTGTAGTCCTGATATGAAAGAATTTGAAGTTACCTTGGTGGCTTCTTTAGTCTCGAAAGATTTCTCCTTCGCTTCCTCTTTCTTTCCAGATAAGTATTCCATGGCTCTCTTTGCAGCATCCGCCGCTGAATCTCTCAATTCCCCGAGTTTGCTTACTGTCGTATCCTTCCCTTCTTTCGCCTTCTCAGCCGTGTACTCCGATGTCTCTCTCGCTTTCTCCGCTGTATAGTCTCTGTATTCCCCTGCCTTCCTTGCCGCCGCATCCTTCGTCTCCTTCGCCTTCTCCTCCGTGTAATCCTTGTACTCTGCTGCCTTCTCCTTCGCTTCATTCGCCTTCTCCGCCGCGTAATCTTTGTACTCACCAGCCTTCCCCTTCGCCGATTCTGTCGCTTCCCTAGTCTTCTCCGCTGTGTAATCTTTGTATTCCCCTGCTTTTCTCGCTGCAGTGTCCTTCGTTTCCTTCGCCTTCTCCGCTGTGTAATCTTTGTATTCCCCTGCTTTTCTCGCCGCTGCATCCTTTGCTTCCCTCGCCTTCTCCGCTGCGTAATCCTTATACTCGCCGGCCTTTCCTTTGGAGGATTCTGTAGCCTCCGTCGTCTTCTCCGCTGTATAGTCTTTGTATTCCCCTGCTTTTCTTGCCGCCGCGTCCTTCGTCTCCCTCGCCTTATCCGCCGCATAATCCTTATATTCGCCTGTCTTGTCCCTTGTTTTCTCTCCATATTCACTCATTTTCCCTCTCGCCGACGCCATCGTATCGCCGGTGGCTTCCTTCGTCTCCCTCGCCTTCTCTGCCGCTGCACTTCCATATTCGTCCATTTTCCTCTTCGCCTCCTCCGTCGTCTCTCTTGCCTTCTCCGCCGACGCGTCCTTTACCTCCTGACCTCTCTCCTCCGCTTCCTGGCTCTTCCCAACCACCGCCTCCTTCGCGTGTTCATACGTGTCCTGCACCGCCTTCAGTACAGATCCGATCACGCCGGACCTCTGCTGCTGATCATGTGCCGCCCCCCGGTCCGTCTCCACGACCTCCACCGTGGCTTTTTTCTCGGTTCCAGGCGCCGCTGCATGCTGCTCTTCGTCTCTGTTAATGTCTCTGAGATCGGAAGCAGCAAGCCTCGCCGCTACCTCTGCTCTCTCCTTCTTCATTTCCTGAGACGCCATTGAGATCTTCACCGGAATTTTCTCCAAATGTGATTTTAACTTTATCGCGTTCCTCTTGTGGATGCTTGTTGATAATTTTTTGAGTTGCTGTTCGGCGGTCGCCGCTGGACTTATATAAACACCGATGGAGAACTATGTGATTCCATCTCTGTAGAACCGACACGTCGTTTCTTAGTGCTTAAGGGGAGGCCACGTGTACGTCGGATACTAAACGACACGTAGTCGAGCTACTTATGTCCCCTGGCCGATGACACGTCCCGTTTTATGGCGGAGGTCGGTGGTTTGATGTTTTGCGCTGATTAACCTCCACGTGTCACGATGCAACCACGTGTCAAGCTGGGTGAGTGAAAAAGCATTATATATATTTTCGATTAGATAAATAGGAATATATAATGTCTACAATGACATGCTTTAGTATTTAAAATAATGAAGGATCAGTTCAAATCGGTAACGATGACCGACATTTTAAAGTTTTGAGTTCTTCAAAATGTTGGGACAGATGAACACTTCGATGAAATAAGCGCTAATGTGACAATGTGGTTGTTGCAATAAGCCGAGAGAGTAGTGTTACAATCTACGATACGAATGTACTTCGAAGAAGTTATTAAAAATGTTTACGAGTTTAAGGGGAGGAGAATGTTACAACTTACTCTCTTCTTGGCTGTGACTTTACGTGCAAATAAACAAAGGTCGTAAACATGAAAGTGACATCAAATCGGTCACGTGAGAGTCGAGACAAGATGAGTACTATGATGTAAGTACGGAGGATAAAAGAAAAAGATAGATAAGAGTGTTAGAGATAGGCTCAAAGAAGAGTCAAAACCTCGGGCCTTGAAAGTCAGAATTTTTGTATGAGTTTTGGCATGTGGCTCTAGAGTTAAGTCCATCAGTATGAAATATGAATGCTTGTCAATCGAACATTCAACAGACGCTCCACAAAGCCATATGACCGCTCACAAAAATCGTGAGATCTCACGTCAGTTAGAGAAAGAAACGAAATATTTTTTATACGAGTGTAGAAACTGACAGCAATATGTAACGATCCAAGCGAATAATATCTGCTAATAATGAGTTTAGGTTGTTACAAATGTTATCAGAATCTGACATTATGTGGTGTGCTAGCAACGATGTTGACCCCCAAGAGGATGGATCGTGAGATCCCATGTTGGTTGGAGAAGGGAACAAAACATTCCTTAGAAAGGAGTGAAACCCTCTCCATAGTAGACACGTTTTAAAATCATGAGACTGACAACGATATGTAACGAGTCAAAACAGACAATATCTACTAGCGGTGAGTTTCAACTGTTATTAATGATATCATAGTCTGACATCTAACTATGTGCTAGCGATGCTATATTTCGATTCATCCTCTTTTTCCAAGGATTTCATAATTGGACATTGAACCCATTTCATATGATGGGAGTTGCGGGTGTATTGGGCGCTGCTCTGCTATGCGCTATTCATGGTGCTACCGTAGAAAATACCTTATTTGAAGATGGTGATGGTGCAAATACATTCCGTGCTTTTAACCCAACTCAAGCTGAAGAAACTTATTCAATGGTCACTGCTAACCGCTTTTGGTCCCAAATCTTTGGGGTTGCTTTTTCCAATAAACGTTGGTTACATTTCTTTATGTTATTTGTACCAGTAACTGGTTTATGGATGTTATTTGTACCAATAAACGTTGGAGTAGTTGGTCTGGCCCTGAACCTACGTGCCTATGACTTCGTTTCTCAGGAAATCCGTGCAGCGGAAGATCCTGAATTTGAGACTTTCTATACCAAAAATATTCTCTTAAACGAAGGTATTCGTGCTTGGATGGCAGCTCAAGATCAGCCTCATGAAAACCTTATATTCCCTGAGGAGGTTCTACCCCGTTGGACGTGTTTTAAAATCATTGTAACACAATAATTCCTCAACACATAAGTGGCTATGCCAAAGTTAATATTACAAGAATGTTCATCCATAGACACCAAAGTTGATTCAGCTCAAAGAATTCCCTAGTCCTTAAAAGATAGTTTCAAAGCCAAGGAATCGTTGAAAAAGCAAAGGACAATCCGGTTTAACAGATTGGTAAAGAATCTTTTACACCATTTTCATAAGAAAACTTCACAATTCTCCCAATTCTTCATTCATTTTCGTACCAAAAATCCAGTGGAGACGAGGAGACGAGGTGCGGGCGTTCGAATCGGTCAAAAAAGGAAGGACTTTTATGTAAGAAGAGGATTATCAGATGGCAAATACATCTTCAAAAACTGGTCAGTTGGGGGCAGTGGTATTAAAAATTGGCATTCCTCTAGCTTTTTCTGCAGCAGGTGGCATATGCGCCATAATGATGGAAAAACTCATGGAAAATAGGCAGTTTAGCAGCCATAATTGTTCTTCATGTTCAATTGCTTTAGAGGATGAGGAAATTTCAGAAACAGAGGAACAAAAACCCAATGTTGAGAAGAAGGTAATTCAAAGCTTAAAAGGCAGAGTTGAAGAGATTGAAGAAAAAGAAGGGGAAATAGAGAGGCAGTTCATTATGTACCAAAATTTAAAAGAGAGGGAAGCTTTGCTGGAGGAGCTGAAGAACAGTTGGGATTTGGATATGGGTCATATCAGCTTCTTGGAAAGGGAGGTTTTGTTGATGGCAGAAGAAATCAAGAGGTTTGAGGGTTTGGTGTCAGAATATTTGGGAGTTGCAGAGCAGGTGGAAGGTCAAAGAACAGAGAACAGGTTGCTTGTGAGAGAAGTAAAGAAGATTAAGAAGAGATTGAAGGAACAATCAAAGATGGTAAGAGAGAATAATTTGGAGATTGAAGATTGTAAAACAAAACTTGAAATGGAAACGAAGAAAAGGATGTTAGAGAAGCTGGGGAATGAAGTAAGAGAGTTGAATATGCAAATGGCTGAATTAAAGGTTTCATCTTTCTTCTTTTCTGCACTCAATTTTGCTTTTATCTCATAACAAGTTGAGGAATTCAGGTTTGTTGTTTTGCAGATCAAAGAAGAAAAAGCAGTAACAAGTGAGAATTTCGAGAAGCTTTCAAATGAAGTGAATCAGTTGAAAGATGCAATTGAGATGTTAAGAAAGCAAGAACAGCAAGAACAGCAAGAACAGCAAGAACAGCAAGAACAGCAAGAACAGCAAGAACAGCAAGCACAAGGCCAGAAAGAAAATCCAAATCACAAAGCTCTGGATCAAAAGGAATCGTCGTCTGATAAAACTAACTCCACGAGGACAAAGCTTCTTCATAGAATAATCTGTATTGGGGGGAAATGAAAAGTGGAAATACTTCATAACATTCTCCAAATCCTTATCCATGTGTACTTTTAAAATTTGTACTTTTAAAATGTTTAAAACTAAAAAAAAATAAAAATAATTAAAATCATGTGTTTATAAAAGAAAAATGTGGGGTTTTTTTTTCTTAATTTGTAATTTTGAAAGTAACCGTCATCAAAAAAACATTTCAACACAAGTCAAAAAAACTACCCCATTTCAGATAATATAAATAAATAAAAAAAACCATTAAATAACAGAAACATAGGCTTGAAAATTAGAAAAACACCATTCAACAAATCTAGTTTCGAAATAAGCATCCATTCTGATCCTGGCAAAAGAAAAGGGTACTAATGGACTACTAAAGGTTAGTAGTTTTCTAAACAAGGGAAGATTAAAATGTTGCTCAAAATAAAATGGCAAAAAAACTACTACCAAATCTGTAAAGAACTCTCTTCCATTCAAGTAGTCAATCGGCCACCAGCCAGCCGATGTTCGGTATCAAAAATTCAAAAATTTTATTCTCCGGTAAAGAATTCACTGAGAAAGTGAATTAAAGTTGGAGCAGTTTTGGTTCCCTTTTAGCTGCGCTGACTGCAAGCTCAGCCGGTATGGAAATCGAGCGAGTCTTGGTTGGACAGCTTACTCTTTGAGATCTTAAGCACCTGCACTGCTTCTTCAACCTTGGCAACTAGAGATTCAGGTGACTCTAACAGAAGCAGTAATTCCGAGTTGTTCATCTCCAGAAGCATCCCAGTAATCTTCGCAGCCGGCTGCAAGTGTCATTAGTTTAGAATGTGTCTTTAATCATTCAAAATCTATTTAATGTTCGGTTTTACCCTTTAAACCTGATTTGCCTACAATCAAAATTGATTTGAAAGGATCAAAAACATATTTCGGAGTGATTTTGAACATGAAGAAAATGATTTAGTCATTTCAAGATCACTCCTAGACATGCTATTAAGTATCGTGGTCGATCAGTTACCTTGCATTTTTGGACAAGGGGGTAGAGATGCTCCCCAAGGATCTGTTTTTGTTGGTCTGGGGGAGAGGAAGAAAGGATCCAGCAGAATTAAAAGCAGCAGCTGAGACTCCAGAAGTTTTGTTTCTTTCACATGGGCGACACCATATGATAACTACATTTTTGGATGGTTTATGACTGACTCAAACTTTTTCCAAATCAGTGCTCAAGTCCAAGACACCTCCAATTACATTACGTTGGACAAGAAAATTGAAAATCTATTCCACAGAAACCATTCATAGAAAGTCTATTCCACTCCGAATTCAGATGAATGGAACAAGCAAGAGGCACGAGAAAGTAAGTGAATAATTTGTAGAAAGACTAGAATAGCTTACCTGCAGATTGCCGGATGATTTATCAGTAACTCCTGGTTGATGGGCATCTTGTGAATTGTGCATATAAAAGACAGATTGGACACCATTTTGATGAGAAAGCATTGGTCCATTTATTTTGCCTCTGTTTTGCCTCGGTTGCCTCGAAGCATTCGGAATCTGTGGAATAAAAGTTAAGATGCAAAGAAAGATTGCTTTCACAAGTTAACAAAGTTTAACTCTTAATAATAATTCCCTTTTTTCTGAAAAGAAAAAAAAAATGCAGAAATAATACTTTGTAATTATTTTATAAGATCACATATTATACAAAAACTGCTGGGCAGCAGAAGACATCCAGGTTTAATCCAAGAAAAGTTGCAACTTACAAGAGGTACAGGTGTAGGTTGAAAAGCAGGTCTTGCAGGAGATGTAAAAGCATTAGGTCTCCACGCAGGGCTCATTCCTAAAGGCTGAAACGTCAATCCTGAACGAGATGGTACTTGTGGGACAACACCTGGTGCTGGGTATCCACCCGGAAAAAGTGTTGACTGCCCTAGCATCGCTGCCATCCGTTGTGCAAACTGAAGCCTCAGTTGCATTTGTCTATCCTCTTTTCTTTGTGCTATAGCCAAATAGAGTGGCTTCCCGTGGAACATATATCCTATGAGTATACGTTATCCAGTGTCCAAAGAAAGGTAATTAGTAGAGACTTGACCAATAGAACTTAAGAAATGATAGCTTTACTCAAGAACAAGAAAAGGATGCCAATTTCAAAGAAAGGCAATCCAGTGTTTTTGCAATCCAATAATTTGTTTCATTATTCTAAGTGGTTATTCTATTTTTGGTAATGAAAAACTTGTTATTCTTAACTCTTGTGTTCAAGAGTTCATTCTATTTTTGGTAATGAAAAACTTGTTATTCTTAACTCTTGTGTTCAAGAGTTCCTATATAATTTAAGTGACACAATAAAAGCTTTTTCTATTCTTATATTAACTGATTTATGTATAGGATTCCATTCGCCCCATGGTTAGGAATTAATGATTGGTTTTGTCTACAAAGATTTTGGATTTTCTCATAACGATCCAATTATATCCGGTCTTGTTTCCACTTTTCCGGTCATTCTGGACACAATTTTCAAATATTGGATCTTCCGTTATTTAAATCGTGTATCTCCGTCACTTGTAGTGATTTATCATTCAATGAATGTCAACATTCTTTCTTAAACTCTACTTAACTCAACCCAATTTTCAGTTTCAGTAGGGAAGAACGAAAACTTCCTTCAAAACTTCAAACAAATCAGAAACATCACGTCAAAGCACCCGTGAAACAAATTTAAGATAATTTATGTATTGATAGTTCAATGCACTCATGTAAAAATTACCTTGCAAACTGTTCACGGCTCTTTTAGCTTCGTCAGGATTAGAGAAGCAGACAAATCCAAACCCTTTGTTTATTCCCTTGTCATCTCGCATAAGTTTTGATGAAGTGATGGTCCCACAAGGACTGAAAAGCACCCTTAGTTCTTCATCAGTAACACCATCATCAATGTTCTTCACATACACATTTGAGCCCTACATAATAGTTCATATTGTTTATTGGGAGAAAGAGACTATAATTACACCAACAATGAAAAAGGACGAGTTTTGAATGGTACCTTATATTTTAAGACCTGCTCTTTACATTTCTCTTCGTCACGTCGACGTAATACTTCCTCACGCTCTGTCTTCTTCTGTGCCCGTGCAATGTAGATACGCTTAGAACCTGGTAAAGAAAGAACATAGTGAGATAAAAAAAAAACACATCATATAAAACCAAAAAATCTAGTTAAAGACAAAGGGGACAAAGATGCATCTGTACCCAGTTGCGATCCATTAAGTGCTTCTAATGCCTGTTTCGCATCATCAGAGTTCACAAAGTTTATAAAACCAAAACCTCTTGACATTCCATTCTCATCCCTTGAAATAATCATGCTGGAAATTTTTCCAAACTCAGAAAACTTTTCCTGCAAATGCTCTTCCCCGATTTCTGAGTCAAGATTTTTCACATACAAATTGGTGTATTTAAAATCAGGATTGGCCAAGACTCGTTCACTCTTACAGATAAACTTTCCGACATATCTGTAACACATGTATGGTGAGTGTAAATTAATTATACATACAAATAATAAGCATTGCACAGTTACTTCAAATTATGAATGCTCATGTATATTTCATCACATCAGGCGATCATTGCATGGCTGATGATAAGAAGTGCTGTATTTACATCTGCTTATCCCCAATGGTAAAACCATTCAGTGACTCTATGGCAGTTTTTGCGGAATCCTCAGACTCAAATTGAACAAAGCCGTATCCTTTGCTCTTCCCATCATCGGATGTGACTACTTTGCTGGACAGAACATTTCCAAATTTCTTAAATAGCTCTTGAAGTCCTAAACCATTGATTGAATCGCTCAAGTTCTGCAATGGTTAGTCAAGTTAACCAGAAAAAGAACAAAAGACCATATTAAAATGTAAGTTTCATGAATAACCCGATGTTGATTCTATAAGCCAATTATTCTCTCTGTAGAAACAGCATAAACCTTAACAAACACGTTTCCAATTCCACTTTTTCTTGCACCATGATCGCGGTGTGACCACATGACTCGAATCGCTCTTCCATTGAGCATTCTGTGATTCATTGCCTCCATCGCGTTGGTTGCTGTTTTAAATTATATAGACATAATAAGGCAGTCACAAAATCATAAGCTCCAATGTATGTTTAGTTTCAAATATTATGCAAGAACCAATGATAGAAAGCAGCATTTCCAAATAAGCAACAAATGGTGGATAAAGCATTCTGAAATAACCAAATCTATTCAAAAAACAGAAAAGAAATTTGGTGTAAGCAGATAAATAAATAAAGGGGGGAAACACAGAAGCCTTAACCGACTGCTAATCAACCTATTGAATTAAATAATTGCAATTCAATCAACTTCATTATTATTTATGAAATCTCAAGATCAAGAATATAACAGTGATCAGCAGACATTTTTTTCTGCCATAAATTAAATGACAAAAAGAAAGTTCATCGGAATCTCAACGAATCCAAAGACTCGAATATAATGTTATATATCGATCGTCATTTCATTTCTCAACGCAAGAAAGAAAAAGGAAGGCAAAAATCCAACGCAAGAAAGATACAAACGCCTTTAATCGCCCGATTGAAAAAGAACAAAAACAAAATCAAAGCACACAAGAATCAGACCAGAAATTATGACAGAATAAAAAATGAATACCGTCTTGCGGAGACATGAAATTGACGTAGCCATAAGAGAGAGAGCGTCCAGTGGCGGAATCTCTACAGATACGAACAGAGGCGAGGCTCTTGAATCCAGAGAAAGAATCAAAGAGCTGACCATCAGTGACATCAGGATGAAGGTCGCCAACATAGAGCGAAGCCGGAGAGGCATGAACCGCCGTCTGAGAAACCGCCGCCATTACAAAAGGAAATCGCGAACTCCTGGAACAGGTAGAGATTCAAACCACAAAAACAGACCATCATCATCAAATCATCAAAAAATAATAACAGAAAAACCACAAGAACCCAAACCTGAAGTCTGGTAATCACTTCCTTCTTTGGAATAATGCCGGTGACAGTTACAGGAATCTCTGGTTAACGATGGAATAAATGCAGAGAGTGAAAGAGAACAAAAAGGATCGTTTATACAACGAGTTTAGAGAGAGAAGAGTACGATTTTAGAGAGTGAGGATTCTGCATGGATCCAGCGAACGCTTCAAAGCCAATTATTTATTTATTTATTTATTTTATTTTTTAGCTGTCATGTGGTTGAAGAATCCCCGTTCCAAAAGGCTACAAAGTCAAAGATAAAACTGAATTAATTATTATTATTATTTTAATTAATGAGTGAAGTCTTTTTACCCTTCCCTCGTTCACGGGGAAAATTAAGCAAATTTTGTTATTTGTATTTAATTTAATTTAATTTAATTTTTTTAATTGAAGAACCTTTTTTAACGCTTTTTTTTCTGGACTAAGGTTAAAGGTATTAATATTTACAAATTTTAATTATAAATTTTTTTAAAGAAATTATAAATTTATTAAACTCAAATCTATAATTTTCTATTAAATAGAAAAGTAAATTTAATCGATCCATAGCACATAATTTACAATTACTGACATTTCTCAAAAATATGGGCCCGATGACAGGCCCAAATGAAGAAGTGGGCCAGAATATTCATCTTTCAAGCTGTGAATCAACTTTTTGGGTCCATCGCATCTCCAATGGTCTAAGAACAATAGAACTACACTGCCACCGCCAATCATAGTCATACTAGACTGGAGAGGGCAAACAATTGGTGTAAAGAATGGGGATTTTAAGAAGTGAGAACTACAGATTTAAAGTCGAAGAAGCTGGAAATGGATGAACAAACTAAGACTCACTAACACTGCTAATGCTTCCATAGTTGATGATTGGAGGAGTTTATCTCGAGTCGAACTGCTCACGCTAAACTGTCCTGCATTCTCGAACCTGTTCTTCTCAGATGTGACTGATACGTTAACAGCTTGGGAACCTGGAAATGACTGATACATTTAAAGTTGTTCCATGGGATTGTACAGATTTATACACACGGCCTTGTATGTTCTCAACTTACAATCATAATTTGCCCACCCAATTCTCTGGCGCGCCAAGTCATATACAAATATCTTGTCTTTCATAACTATATCTGCAAAGACGAAGGCACAAAAAATGAGGTTCAAGGATAAAGTGTTAGGAATTACGACCCTCTACAATGGTATGATATTGTTCACTTTGAGTATAAGCTCTCATAGCTTTGTTTTTGGTTTTTCCAAAAGATCTCATACCAATAAAGATGTATTCCTTATTTATAAACCCATGATCATCCCCTTAGTTAGCCAATGTGGGATTCCCTTCCCAACAATCTTCAATCTTCAACGTACACATTGATTCATGGAGTCGTGTGATACAGTGTGGTAATAAACTGTTGAATCCTACATATGATAGCTGGTGCAAATTGACTTTTACAAAAAGAAGTTGGAGCATTTCATTACAAAGATTTGGCAGATATTCGCATTCAAAAAGAAGTCCAAGTTCAGGGACTAACCTCCTAAAATCGTTACTCCTTCCTGAACTTTCTGAAAACCAATACACCATAATGCAGCACCATCCTGCAAGGATAGAACGATATCGAATATTCCCACATGGTTGGTATACATGGAAAGAATGAATCTAAAACAACTTACATAAAAGCCAAGATGCATAAGATATTGTTCAGGTTTTAACACCATAGATGCACTGCCCGCGAAGTTTAAGCTAACCAGAGGAAATATCTCGCCTACACTGGACATAGAAGAGAATTTTGCCCCATTCAGTTATTGGGTAAGTTGAAGATCAAACTGCACCCCTTTTTTAAAGAGTTGAAAGTAGAGACAGACCTGGTGGATACTAGATAACACTGGTTGCCCTTTGAAATAGTAGGAGTCACAGATTGGGAAACAGCAGCAGTTATCTAAACATGTCAAAAGAAAAACACATATTGAGTAGTGGCATGTATATATTAATAAGAATTTAGGTTGGTTAACATTGGCCCTTGTCATTTCAAAAGTTCCATTTGACCTTCAACCTTTAAAATGGTGTAAAAACATACTTACAGCGTTGACAAATGGAGTATAAGCTTCTTCAACAAGGTAAGCCAATGTTGTCCCAGAGTCTACAATAGTTCCTCGATTGTTTGATGTTGCAAACACAGATGGATCAATTGACAGTGTCTGACCATTGACAGCAATGCTTTGCAGGTATAAGTTATAGTGAGGCCTGATGATATTTCAAAATAGAGTTAAACGTTCAACAGAAGTAGTACATTTGTCTATTAATAGAAGCACAAATGTGAAATAAAAACCTGAAATCAGGTGAACCACGCAGTTGGATGCCAACACAAATTCATTACTTGGAAAAAAAATGTCATAGAAACTGATAAAATGTTTAAATTTTCTTCTCCATAGATTCAAAGCTAGGGAATGAGCTCTCAATTATGCAAGAAAGAGATTGGAAGAGAGCTTCCAAAACAAAACAACTATTACAGAACAATCATTTGTGAGAAAGGAAATTCTATTATTAGCTTACTAATTCCAAGAGGTTTGCAGCAATGAAATACGTAAGAAGCACATTCAAACTGGCAGTTTTGGCTTAAATAAATTAATTCCATAAATAGAAATTAGTTGCAACTTTTTTACTTCTGGTTTTTCAGTAGTAAACTCTCAATATTTTAGGCTTCTGAGATACCAAAAACTTTCTGAATATAATTTGAATGTGCCACTAAAATTGACAGATTATTCTCTAATATGGACGTACTGAGAGGGCACAAGTGGGCTATACACAATGCCTGGCTCCAAAACCTCACCAAGAACCAATATACCGCCACCATTTCCTTCTCCTTTTAAACAATGGGAAAATACTTTAGGGGTTATCCCTCGAGCTGACAACTGTGATATCACAGACAAATCCCCAGGGCCGAATCCAAAAATGCCATCAATTGCATGGTCTGATTTAGTCAAGTCTCCTGACTGATAGGTGCTACAACTGCATTCATAGATTCATAAGATGCTTTCAGCATTTCCAGAAAAATGTAAGAGTAGAATGCATATTTGTTGAATTGAGCGAGGAGGAAATATATTTAGACCATAACAGAGGACATATTATATTTGGTATCAAAACATAAGTGTGGTATGATGAGACAAACATTAACCTTATATTCTTCTTGATGTGCATAAACTTGGAAAACAACAGTCAAAGTTGTTTGAAAGTGTAACAGCCCAAGCCCACCGCTAGCAAATATTATCCTTTTTGGGCTTTCCCTTCCGAGCTTCTCCTCAAAGTTTTTAAAACGCGTCTACTAGAGAGGGGTTTCCACACCCTTACAAGGAATGCTTTGTTCCCCTCTCCAGCCGATGTGGGCTCACAATCCACTCTCCTTGAGGGTCCAACATCCTCGCAGGCACACCACCCAGTGTCTGGCTCTTATACCATTTGTAATAGCCCAAGCCCACCGCTAGCAGATATTATCCTCTTCAGGCTTTCACTTCTGGGCTTCCCCTCAAGTTTTTTAAAACGCGTCTACTAGGGAGGAGAGGTTTCCACACCTTTTCAAGGAATGATTTGTTCCCCTCTCCAACCGATTTGGGATCTCTCAGAAAATCAACCCAAACAGAAATCTTTTATATGGTAAAATAGTTATTTCATCCGCATAGAGTCCAATTGAATACCATATGTTAGGAAATTCAAAAAGTAATTTACCCAACTCACCCAAAAACAACAGTAGCTGAAGAGTTAACAATCATAGAAGGTCCCATAACCATGTCGAAGTACATGGACTCAGATACATAATAACCTGATGTTCCACTTCCATCACCATACTGAAAGGTGTAACTGCATTGTTTACTCTGAGATAGACACTGCGTTGCAGTTGTTTGGAATGCAGAATTGCATATTGGGTCAGAACAGGAGATGAGTGAAGAACTTGATGAGATGGAAGCATCAAAGAAATTTAGTTGAATCTGCACAGGGTAAACTAAAATAAGGACTCTAGCATGGAGGCCATAGGGCAATTTGACACTAGCAAGCGAGGAGGTGAAAAGAAAGACCCTTACTCCAAGTCCACTTGATGTGGGGCATCCATTGCAGGAATTGCAGTTTACCCACAAAATATCACTTCCAGTGTCGATCTGCACCGTAAATTCCCTCGGGGGAGTGCCCAATTTGACTTTCGTAAAGTAAAGCCTGAACATGCCATTAACAACGAATAACAAGTTTACTCCACAATAAAGTTCAGAGAGTTAGTCCAATCAAATCAAAACAGAAACATCCATGGAATTTTGAAGGCAAGAAGACCCCCCCTCAAATAGAACCAACAGCTATATTTGCTTTGTAACTTATGGCATGAGTAAAGTAGCATCCACAAGAAATATTTAAATAAAGAAGAACAAGAAAAAACCAAGAAACAATTGAAGTAGCATTTATTATTACTTCCCTATTAGAACAACAAGAGAAAATGAAAATGGGAATATAAAGCATTTTTCCAGTTTTAAGTCAAAACTATATCAATTCGATCATCCTTCTTCGCCTTCTCTGGTCTGTTTTCATACCTCTCTATCTCTCTCTCTCTCTCTCTGCACCTGAACAACCTACCAGCCGCTAAACAGAGTATCACGTGGACGAAAATATCACGAAACACAGAATCGATTATAATCCAAGAAAATCATGAGTCCTATAGTAGATAATTTACGAACACATCCAACGACTAAAAATAACAAAATAATTTACAGATGAAGAGCAAACAATACCCGATGAGCAATGGATCGGAAGAACCTTCGACAGAGAAGTCGACGACACCTTGCAACATTCTGGCATGCCTTAGTCGGTCCCGAGCTCTAAGGGTTTCGAGTTGGACAGTGCGAGAAGAAGGGAAGGCCCTCTGCAGAGAGAGAAGTGGGACGGGGAAGCCGCAGTAAACCACCGCCGCCGGCAGAACAACGGCAGCTAAGGCCAAGATCGAGGAAGAGAAGGCCCGCATTTCGGTGGAATTTTGAAGGTTTTGAGTTGTGAAATGGGAAGATTTATGAGCAAAGTTGGGTTTATGGGATTGTTCCTGCACATTGCAGTGAAATAGAAAGAGAGATGAAGAGTAAGCAAGAAAATTTTTTATTTTGGATTAACTAATAATAATAAAT